GGCCCTTCCGTCTCCCCTGAGCTGCCCTGAGTGGGGCCTGTTGAAAGAGCTGCTAGTCCAACCAGCCTGCTCACTCTCCCCCAAGCCAGGTAATGAGTGTTTCCATGGCGACACAGCAGAGTGTGCAGGACAGGCAGACTTCTGGCAGGGAAGAGCTAATCCAGCCTCCTACAGCTGGGGCACCTTCACTTGCTAGGGGTCAGCTGATTCTTCCTCTTTTTTATATCGAGGGCTGCGTTTCCCTCAGGGGGAGGGGACGGAGGGGGGAGAGGCACAACACACTCTGTTCCGAAGGCAGGTACTGTGCATCCTTCACATGACACCTTTCACAGTTCACACACGCCCTGTGCGAGTACACATGTTAAAATTCACGTGGACACTGCTGAAGACACAAGCGCGGCTCTTCAGCCCTGGGGGAAAATGTCTGTTTATATCGTAAATGTGCGGAAATCCCTCAACAGGCAGTCATTGCAAAATACAAACACCCAGAAGGAAAAGCTCAAAAGCCTTTGTTTCTCAAAGAAACAGGAAATCATAACAGGTCCTGGGTCTTCCTGCACTCTTTGTCTATCGACCCTGATTTCTTAATTGTTTAGGGTTGTTTTTTTTTTTTAAGGAACAGGACTGTAGGTACTTATTATTTCCCCACATATAAAAACGGCTGCGGGTCTTCTAAAAAGAACTCTGGAATTGTACTCCGGGGAAGAGACACGTCGGCCCGTGTTGAAACGCAAGGGTGTTAAGCGCTCCCAGCTGGTGGGCACATCAGCAGGCTGTGTAAGGAGTGTTTGTGACAGAAGATGCCCGTTATTGAGAAATGGGGAGGGGAGGGGGCGGTCAAAGCTCCTTAGTTTGATATTGAAGGCAAGAGATAACAGGTCAAAGTCAAAGCTCTGAACAATAAACCGGCCCTGTAAAACATTAACAGGCAAGTACTTCACAAGAAGTGACTACGCTGGAAGAAGGCCGCATCTTACAGGACAGGGGTTTCACCTGTACAATCAGCATCGGCTAGCACGCTTCATACCAATGAGACCTCTTTGTCCAATGTCTATTTTAATTGGGTAATTAAAAGTGTCATTAAGTTCATTAACAGACGAACAACTAGTACTGAAATGTACCATTTTCAGAAATACTGAATTTGAAGAATACTTTGTAGTTTTTGGAAATACAAACATTTCATGAACGGACCCCCAAGAGAGGTACAGTATGTGTCACAACACTGAATTTTCTGCATGTCACAAATTACCCAGCCGATCATCATTAATATAAGATCCTGTTTTTACGTTTTCCTGCCAATGAGGTGTAGCTGCTTTCCAGTCTGTCAAACCCAATGATCCCGATCTTGTCATACGAAAATGTCACAAAAGCAGGACAATTTCCTTCGGACAGCCGAAGCCACTGTGCAGCCCTGCATCTTAACCACTTGTGTCTGAGATCGTCTGCCTGCAGCAGTGACCAGAGGTGTGTAATAAACCAGTTAGTGCTGACTGAATTTATCAAAATGTCAAATATTGAAAAAGTCCCACTATAATTAAGAACTCGTAATGAAATTAACATTTTCTTTGGCTTCGTGTTATTTCTGGTGTATTGTGTACTGGGTAGGAACTGCTCTTTATCTGGTTGGTGCTCTCTGGGTTCCACTCTCAAAGGAACAAACAAAAGGAGGCTTGTGCACCATATTGTCAATTGCTTCCACGTAATTAAAGTCTCCCTTCCTTTCTCCTTCGTACCTCCGAATGGGTTTTCAGAGCACGTTTCTAAATTTACACTCGAAAAAACACACCAAACCCTGTGGTCATCGCGGAACATTAGGCCTACCATCTGTCTCGGGATTAAGAATGAAGAAATGAGAAATAACAGAAAATAATAAAAACTCCCTTTAGAAATCTGAACGGTAAACTGAAAACCATTGTATTTCCGTGCAAGCTCGACACTTGTAAGAAACAAGTCTCCCTATAAGAATTCCTACAAAAAAATTCCAAAGGGGCTTTACGTCTCTGGTATCCATTGTTTTAAAACCAACATACACAGGATCTAAACCACTGGTGTTTTCCTTCTTTTTGTGCAAAGGCCACGCAATGCCCATCGTGCTGCCTTCCCTCCGCCTTCCAGAGGACAGTTCTGCGACCGGAGCTGGGCTGCAGATCCACGGTTTCACATGGA